TAGCTTAGCCTGCGTAGCCTCCCCCCTCCCTTTCCATTATTTCTCTTGGCCCCTCTCCCCTAGAGCCGCTATGCAGCCTAATTATAGCTCAATAGCCGATTTGCGAATTTCGCTTCAGTTGTCAAACACAAAAGAATCAAGACGAGGCGCCGTGCGTMAAGCTCATTCAATCGTGAAAAACTATTGTCTTTCCACGGATGACTGAGCTTTATGCACGGCRCCTCGTCTTGATTCCTTTGTGTGTGACTACTGAGGCAAAATTCGCAAGTTGGCTATTATAAATGAGAAAAGCTATGGCTTATTTTGCCGGTTATCTTGAAAGTCTAAATGGTGTGGATGCCATTATATCGTTTTTTGATATAAACGCAGTCATTTATAGCTCCCAACCATTCCACGCAGTTTATTTTGCCAGTAAATAACTTCAAGCTATTAATCGTTTATTGTTTAGCACTACTTGATTAATACTTTTTCAAAACTGTTAGTTTTGTTAGTTTTTGTTTTTGTTAGTTTTTGAGGTCACCACAATTAAGGATACTATTGCCAWTCCAACTTTCCCCACAGGGGTAGGGACAGGAGGTGATATACAAGCCCCTGGTGCAGCAAAATCACTTTCCTTAAGGCAGGGACCATCCTTTATATTGACATCAAATAAGTGAACTTTATCATAGGTTTGTACAATGCATCCATTGTTATCGACAATCACGTGAGTGTTGGATATTCTGTTGTCAGTGGAAGTGTCCTGCAAAAAAAAAAAAATGATAAAAATATAGAGAGAGGATATTAAATGGCTGCACAGAGATACAGATTTTATCTTGGAATGTTCAAAAGATCTCTCACGAGTGAGTGTAACACGAGAAGATAAAATTCGTATCACCAAGCGACCATGTAATATTCTGTTTATCATATATAATTACATTATGATAACTTATAGTATTTCATTGATAATTATATGATAAAATAACATATCTTATACAGTCAACACCATTACATGTTGTTTATTTGTAAAGACATGAAGACAACAAACTGTCACTTGCAAAAAAGGTTTTTTAATATTTTCAGGAACGTTAAAGAATAGTCTCCTTCACGGTTTCCTACGCCATCTTGAAAGGTAGCCATGCCTTTACATGGAAACAAGATGACCAATGAGTGTGCAATGATAGATACCTGTGAATAATTGTCTGAAGGTGCGAAAGAAGATTTTCTATCATTGCGCTCTCAACGGTTGTCTTGCTTCGTACAAAGGCACGGCTTCCTTTCAAGATAGCGCAGGTAACCGTGAAGAAGACTATTGTATTATCTAAACTTGAGATAAATAAGAAAATTGTAATTTTAACTTTTGATATTTAAAAATATTATTGACATTGTAAGTTTTTGAGATTTATGTTGAATATCTTTTGCAAAGAAATTCAATGTTATTATATGCTTTAATGTTGTCTTATATGTGTGTGGAAGACAGTAGAGTTATAACTGACATGAGTTCAATAGACTAGTGACGCTACCTTTCTATTGTGAAATCCACCTAGTGATAACCATATGTCATTTTCCTTTGCTAATTGACACATGTCCATCATTCTTGGCCCATCAATACTTTCAGCCATGCTTAGTGACTGTTCTTTATTCTCAGCTAAATAATCATAGCCTTCTGGTAGGAATACCATCTGAATGACAAAGAGGTTAGTGATTTAATGAAATRCACTCTTTTCGTGGAGCTTTGTCAGTGTCTATGAGGTCTACAAGCTTACGGCATGTTCATCAGCATGCATTTGAGATGCATTTGCATACAATTGATAGGTAGCAATGCCTTTGCATTGAACCATTGACAACTGTTCAGTACAGCTGGAGACATTGATATTGCTTGATGCAAATGCACAGCTACCTTTTGAGATTTACAGGGAACCATGAAGGGCACTATTATTTTGTCATACTTTTGATCTTAGAAAGCGTAATTGATACCACATTCTCTCAAGTTTCCAAGATTGTAAAAAATCATTATAGCCACCAATTATTCCCTTTGCAATAGTCTTCTTCGCAGTTCCCTGCATCATCTTGAAAGATAGCCGTGCCTTTGCATCAAAGCAAGACGACTGTTGAACGTGCAATGATAGAAACCTTCTTTCACACCTACAGACAATTATTCACAGGTATCTATCATTGCCGCTCAACGGTTGTCTCGCTTCGATGTAAAGGCACGGCTACCTTTAAAGATCACACAGGGAACCGTGAAGGAGAATATTTATAAGCGACTTATGGTGTCCTGACAAGTTTCATGAAAGGCCATAAATAAAGGTGCTTCACAAAGTTTAATCTAAAGAGAATAGTACTCCATGATTGATAAGATTTCTTCCCATTTTCTCCAAACTTCTTCTTAAAAAAGCTGTAGACGACTTAAAATTATGGTACTACGACATCAAAATATGTAAATATGGGTACATTATTATTAGATCATGTAATATGAACATCAAGTTCTGAAGCACTTCGTTACCTTGGCACGCCTTGCTTTAGCTTTCTCGACCAGTTCCTTGCATGTCYTGAAATTTTCCGTAACATCATTCTTGCAAGCCAATTGACAAACTGCAATGATAGAGGGATCAACTATCTCTCCGCAGCTGGACATGCTCCTTGAACTACTGTAGCTCTGACGAAGAAGTCTAAAATGTCTTTTAAAAATGCGAAAATTACGATGTTGAATTACAATTCCTGTCCTCATGTACTGTAGAAGTGACGACTGAAGTCTTTTCCACCACTTAAAAGTTAAAAAATAAAGATTTTTTTATGACATTAGGAGCAAATACTGCAAGATTCAAAGGAAATGTGAAAAGCCCAATTTGTACGCTTCGTCCACCATATTGGACGTGATCTGGCATGAGAGCTTGGGGACGAGTTTTGATCGAGTRTAGCACGTGCATTTAGCAAAACAAAGTCCTTCAAATTCTTATATTTTTTGAGATTTTTACTTACGGCTATCGTCTCTTCTTGTTTAGAATGACAGGAGGTAACGTTTACAATCGGCCAAGATCGGTAAGTTGACGTGATAGAGGCTTACTGCTTTAGATTAGGTCATTCTGCGAGGACGAAAATAAGATCAGACCTGTAACATGCATTCTTGAATAGTTTGTTTTGGATCTACAGGCATTACAGAAGAATCTCAAGAGAGCTGGGAGGATTAAAAAACAACAGAAAAAACGTCAAAGTACAACMAAGTCAGAAAGAGTGAAAGATGATCTTGTTACTGGTCATATTTTACGAAAAACAAAGTAAGCTCTCTGAGTACACGTACAACAGCAGTTACAGGCTATACTCCCCCTGACTCCCGTACTCCCCCTGACTTTAATGTATTTAAAGTTACAGTGCACCTAATCAACTATTTGGAGTAATTTTCGTATAATTCCAGAGATAATTTAAGCACTTCTGCAATAAAAAAAATCGATTTGGATAAATCCCTGATTTTTTTTGTGATTATTTCCTATATAAAACAACTAAAATAACAAAGATTAATATGACGGAATAAATCAAAAGACTTCGCTTTGGCACATAGTTCCAGCCAGACTTCACGCAGACCAATTCCTGGGTGTATGTCACTCTCAGTCCCAGTCTCTTGGAATGAAACGACGTCTGTGAGGCCATTCAGTGCACAAGTTATTAAAAATCAGGGATTTATCCAAATCGATTCTTTTTTTTTTGCAGAAGTGCTTAAAATTCTGCCTAGAATTATATGAAAATTACTCGTAATAGGTGGTTAGGTGCACTGGAAGATATGTATCTCTGTTGTGGTGGAATTTTTTTTCCAGCAAAAATATTCATTTTTCTCTTATTTTTCAGAACAAATCCAAAAGCAAACATAACTTTATCAGGGAAAAAGAAAAGATTGATATTAAAGCAAGTCAAAAGAGAACAAAAAGAGAAATTAACTATGGATTTAGACAAGACAAGTAAGCACCATTTTTCTTTCAAATTAATTCTTTTGAAATTGAGATTCTAAAAAAAATCACCTTCAATTGCCCTAGTTCATTATGACGTCACATCAAAACATTCTATTGTTTTAACGCTAAGGATTATGGTCGCCAGAAGGGATCAGAGTGATTGCATATCAAATAAAATGTACTTGAACAATCATTTATACATGATAAATATCAAAACACGATTCATTTAAGTTCTACTTTAGGAGACAATATAAATGGGTCCAAATTTCTACTTTTTTTGAGCATCGTTTTCCGATGTAAACATACTGTGACGTCATAATGAAATAGGGCAATTGGGTTCCAGGAAGGCTTGATCTGTGAACTTCTCACAGGATGAGGAAAAGTTCTGTTCTAAAGTATTTGTTTCTCAATTTTATTTAGATACAGAAGAAAAAAACCCTGAACWGCAAAAGCAAGGAAAAGAGAAAATGGACCTCAGTTAAAACTTAATATGATAATTCCCAGACTCTTTTATCTATAAACCCTAAACAGCTGTGTTGGATCACATGATTGGCTAATTCAAAGACCAAATTAATTCAACTCTGTATGTATGGAGGTTTTGCRTTTGTAGATTTATAGCCTTCGTAACCTTTAGGGAAGTTAGTGAAGATACAAGAAAGAGATCACTAAAAGATTGTTGGGGTTCCTGTGGTGTATGCCAAATAATTCACACAGGAAGTCCAAGACAATGACACAAGTGTAACAAAAGAAAACAGAAATTGTTGCTATTAAAAATGAATGCAGAACTGGTAGATTGATTTGATATATGTCAGGTGATCAATTGGAACAATCAAAAACCACCGAGTCTAATTAAGATAATTGAAAACTGAGGCCCTCTGTCCTAGTCCACAGGGATCCCAAGAGAGCCGCTACACAGGCAATCTTTCAACCTCGTTCCCAGGGCTACTCTGCTCGCTTTTTTCAAGGCGCAGAGTAGCCCTGGGAACGAGGTTGGCAATCTTTATAATCTGGAGTACATGCAAACTTAAAACAAACCACACGTTAATAAGAAAAAACATTTTTTTTATTCCAAGTTATAACATTTTTTGCAATTTTGTTGTAAAAATGAAAAAAATATTTTACTCTATTTACAGCCAAATTATTTCACCATAATTTACAATAACCCAAAAMATATTTCATTTTGCGGAGAAATTCCTTAATGCACAGGAACACTTCAACAACCATTATYGTTTAAAAACTTCTACTTCCAGATTCTCTATATGAAAAACTTTCAAATAAATACAATAAACTTGTTCTGTTCTTTCTAGAATTCACGTCTTTTTGCTTTTTCCAATAACTATTTGACATCTGCAGAAATTGTGTATCGTGACGGTCAACGTGACGTATTTGGGAAAATTTACATATGTCACGCAACATAGCGTGACGATATTCCGGATTGTGTTGATTCGAGGAGGAGGATTTGACGCAATCATATTGCGTTCCCTATTGTTATCAAGCAACGTCGCTCATTGATTCTTTACGCCGTTGGACTGCGTTTAAGACCATTATAGTCTCTGACATTAAAGACTCGAAGATAGCGTCCGCGACTTGGAATTTCACCGCCAATTCATCGTCGTCGTAGTCGATCCATTGTGGCTCCTCTTCTCGTAGCTCTTGTATTAAAACGGCGTCTACAAAGTCTTTTTTCCCTAGTTTTAATGGTGTTTTCCGCCGTAAAGTGTCTATGTTAGGTCGTTCACTGCCCAAGCCAACTAAATCCAGCACTCGTTGTTGGACAATAGGAAGATAGTCATGTTCGTCCGTTACGGGAGAAAGAGTATGATAGAAACGGTTTTTACGTCGCCGTCGCGGCTTCATCCACGATGGTCTGTCTGCGGGAGACTCTTCGTTCAAAACATCACGAAAAACTTCTCCGGTTATGTCGAAAATCATTCGTCGATACGACTGTTTGACTTTTGAATCAGGATCACTCTCGTCCACGTTTGATTCGGAAAATTCCGGGGGTGGTGTGACGCTAGTAAGTGACCCCCCGGATTTTCTACGCTGATAAAATGTTGCTAAAGAGGTGCTAACTATGGGAATGACGTCATCGGAGTTATGAGGAACAACAAGTGGAATAGTTTGCCCGCTAGGCGGTCCATACTCTTCTTTATCCGTAGGTAACTCTAGTGGTTTATTCGCGTTTATAACRAAATCATCGTCATCATCATCATCATCACCCAAGTGTGATCCTATTTCATCATGTAATAATTTCAACTGAGAGAGTTTGTCTGTTAGTTCAATACTGTCAATCGGACCTCCGTCCTTTGTCGGACTTCCTGGTGGACTGGACTGTTTCATAACTGCCATAAACTTGTCAAAACCTCGTGGACTCAGTTCAGGGCTGTAAGGCGGAGGACTGCTGGGAAGTTCCTTTTTGTCGACCTTTTGGGTTTGTTCCAATGTTTTCAGCTTTGCCTGTTTTTGACGCATYAGCGAGATCATCTTCGATGCAGCTTCTTTGAGAAGATTTTCAGAAAGATCTTTTAAAACTTGTTCGTTTTCTGCCTTTTTATCGATCTCCGGTTKMTGTGATTCCTTTTCTTCGATGGCTTGAACAGGACTCACTACCTTGTCCTTGTGTGACCCCGTAYCCAATGGTTTCAAGTCAAGCATGGGTAATGAGACCTCGTCGTCAGTAAAGGAAAGTCTCTCCGATATTGACAAATCTTCACCCTCCGAAACCTCGAAGCCTTCTTCGGGTGGCTTGCCCCAYTCGTTGATTGAATCTTCTTTGTCGGAATCTAGCTTGGGATCAACTAAAGAATCAGGTTTACTAGATTGAGYTGTTTTTTCATCAGATTGTGGTGTAGCAGTCCCTTTCASYTTATGGTCCTCATATAMACTTGATATACAAGTCACAGCGTCACTAACTAATGTGCTAGAAAGATCAAGGGCAATTTTATCTGCTTGTTGTCTTCGAAATTCATCTTTATCTACAAACGGCTTCGTCGGTAMMGCTTCTTCATCCACGTCTTTGTTCGAAGAAATGTCTTTCTCGGACTTTGACGGCGAYGAAGCGTCAAKTTCTGGTAATTGTTCTGTGGGTACTCCAACCAAAAATTGAGAGTGTTTMTCATCATCGCTTAGGTGACCGGACTCTAACGAATGTTGCTCTTCGGGAAGTTCTTCTGCAACACTCTCGTCGTCTGTAGCATCACTGAGGCGAMGTTGAGGCGAAATCACATCTGATTCAGGTTTGTGTTCCTTATCCCTGCCTGCCTCGCCGAGCTTTTCTTCGGCAGATGACTGTTTACTTTTTTGATGAGATGATGGTGATTCAAAATCTTGAGAATACTGACTTTGATCTTTCTCTTCCAATGACAATTTCCCGGATAGTTTTTCAGCCTCAGATAAATTGACTGATTTATTTTTGTCAATACTTCTTTGCTCTCTGAGGGAGAAGCGTGGTGTTGTTTCATCACTTGCTTCACTAAGAGAACCAGATTCTACCGATACTTGATCTTCTGGTATTTCTTCAGAAATACTTTTTTCTCCGGATGCGTCGCCTAGCTGAGGAACCTGTCCATCAGATTTCTGTCCGAGCTCTTCCCCTTTAGAAAGACTGTTACTTACTTTTGGCGAAGAGGGAGATTCGAAATCCTGGGAGTACTGACTGTAATTCTCTTCATGTGATATATCTTTGCTACTTGAAATGTTTGGAACATCTTTGTCTTCATCAAGAGGTCCAGCCTCGTGGTTAGATTCACTAAGAGATGCAGATTTATTTTCTTCCTCTGGGATTTCTTCAGCGATACTCTCCTCATCTGTGGCCTGGCTAAGACGATGTTGGGTCAACRCTTCGGGTTCATTACCCTCCTCAGGTTGTCCATCCYSAACGCTTTTTTCTAAAGAAGGTTGTTCGAGCTTGTCATATGAAGACGGTGCTTCGAAATCTTGAGAATACAAACTTGTATTATTGGCAGATCTGTCYTTGATTTCTAAATTACTCGGAATATTAGATTCTGACTGTTCAAAGTCAGGCGTGTAAGAYTTGGGTRAMGCATCTTTAGTTGGCAGACSATTTTCTTCTTCTTCTTCGATAATTTGCTCACTAATGTCATCGTCAGTTTCATCTTKGTTTTGTTCGCTTTCAAACGTGTTGCTGTAWTCATTTACTGGAGATTTYGAGCGACTACCCAACMCCTCCTCTGACTTCGATTTGGTAGCGAGAGATTCTGGTACAGATTCCGATTTAGACCTCTGTGCTGATCTTAGTGAAAGAGCTTCAGATATCGATTCTGTCCCAGATCTCTTGGACGATCGAGCAGAAATAGCTTCAGATATCGATTGTGTCCCAGATCTCTTGGACGATCTAGCAGAAATAGCTTCAGAAATAGAATCTTCTTCAGAAGGTTGCTTTTCGGAGAGTTCTCTTAAAGAATTTTGGGATTCTACCCCTGAYCTCTTTGATTGAATCTCTGGTGATTGTAGAGACGGAGACCGACTCAACTCTTCGATCCCAGACCTTTCTGAAATTGTTTGAATCTCACTAGCTTGGCTGATATCTTCTGGTGTCGGTGCAATATCCTTAATCTCTTCAGACTGTGAGAATGGCGTATAGTCGTCCTCTTTATCGAAAACTCCCGAGCGATCACTAATATCTAAATCCTTGACTTCGCTGATCGACTGCGGCTCCTTGTCACCTTGACCTTGATCCTTTGAACTAAAGTCCAAGTCAAGAACTACGTTAAGGCCTTTGAAGGGGCCATCACTAAAAGACGACTTCTTTGTCTGTTTGCTGTCAGATGTAGATTGTTCTTCGGGAGTACTCTTCATTAGGCTSAACTTTTCTGAAATCGAGCTGTTGCTAGGCGAYGCTCGGAGTTTTTCAGTTGCTTCCTCTTTAATCGTGGATGGATCCCTACTAGTGAAGGGTCGCGACTGGGTTGCTGTGCTTTCGATGAGGGATAATTTGTCGGGAATGGTTTCACTGCTTGTTTTGACAGCAGGGGGTTGATTAGTGACGGCTGCCTCTGGTTTACTTGTTGTAGAAGGTCGCTCGAGATTTTCTTTGGTTTGCTGTAAGATTCTTTCAACAGCCTGTAAATTAGTCAGTAAACGAGCGTCAAAAAAGATATATTGAAGTCAGTGTGTTACTTTAAAATCAAAGGGCTAAACGTTTGCCACAAAAAACCTTCAGAAKTTTGTATAAAATGTATAAATCGTCATGTTACAGTGAGACTTCTATCTTACTGACACGGAGCATTTGACAGTGGGAAAGTTTTGGCAAYATAGGTGTCCTTAATATATTTTAAGGTAGAGCGGATTTCGTATGAGTAGGACACCGTTACCTCACGGTTACCGCACAGTTACCGGACCTGGCCTGCACAATTTTGGTGAACCAATGGGGCACTAGAATTTGGTTACAGTACGATTACGGYCACAGTACAGTACCGTCCGTTTCCCACTCATACGAAATCCGCTCTAACAACAAGCGATAGTAGTGCAACGTTTCAAGGTTTATTTTGTAACATGTTTTTCAACAATTACGGTAATTGTGTGAGGTAAGGCTTTGAGGTCATTTAATATTACACAGAAAAATA